AATCCTGTTCTATGTTCACATTAGGAATGCATTATTTTGCTCATAAAGGTCAAGGCTTCCCACAGATGTGTGGTTGTCCTCAGAAGCACCACTGGGTGGTCTCCTGTGCAGGGATCCCCCTTCCCACACAGCAGTGGGCTTCCCACTGCCTTTCCACCTTACTAGGTGACCCTGGGTGACAACATTATCATTGTCAATATGAGTGACTGTCATTCTAGAGTATAACCCAAAAGCAAGGAGGAAGAAGCACAAACTTAGCAAAGTAAACAAAAATACATAAGAATGTAAGATACCCTCTATCGGGCTTGAGGGTGACAAAGACTACAGATAGACAGTATTAAGAGGCCCCAAAACACACTTTAGGACAGTGGGGTTACTAAGAATGCTAACAGTAAGTCAGTAAACATCATCATCTCACAAACCTAACTTATTAAATGTCTGAAGACAAAGTTTAGGTTCCAGGGGATCTGCCTCACTCGCTCCTCCAGTTGTGTCTCAGAGTTCCCTACACAGAGAGTATTTACTTAGTGTGGAACTGAACGTCAAGAAAAGCAGGCACCGAATGAAGACAACACTGAGTGTGCAGACAACAGGGTAGGCTGTTCCATTTCTGAAACTGTTAATGCAATATTATATCAAGTGCCTGCAAATGCCAAGCTCTGTGGTAGAAACAGAGTTTCCAAGATAAACAGAATAGGTCCACAGCCTCAGTAACTAAGAAAGGAAAATTAAGAACTTATGGCATCAAAATTCTAAATAAAATATTAACATACTCTTCACAGCAATGTACATTAAGATAGAAAACAAGAAAAGTTAATCATTCAAATTTGAGCATAGTATTCCACTGAGAAATTAATGTAAACACAAATATTTAAGGAGACAATGAAATAATCACAACAGAAGGGGAAAAAAAACCTTAATTAAGCTCAAGATCATTCATGGTTTTAAAAAATCTTGTAATAAAAGAAAACACCTTTAAACTAAGGAAAAACTTTATCCCTGAAACACAAAGCAAACACAATGGTGAAAAGATGAAAAAGTCAGAAACAAGGTGAGGGTTCCGGTTATAAAGACTTTCACCTCAAATGCACAGAACATAAATGAACTTGAAAAATAAAAGAATAATATCAAAGAAAGAAAACAGACACAACTCTCTACATAGAAAATCTGACATGATCCAGAAGAAAAAAATACAAGAAATACTAGTAATGTTCAGTAATTCTGCTGGGTAAAAGATACAAAATTCTATACCATTCGCATATGCCAGCAAACAGTTAGAATCCGTATCTTAAAGAGATGTCAGATGTAGGGAATGGGGAGTCTCAAAGCATCTATCCACTGAGACTCAGTCACTATAGAATGGAAATGAGCCTTTAAAATCTGTCACCAAGTCATCAAAGTGACCAAGTGAGGAGGCCTCACCACAGGGACAACCTGCCTCGGTGCTTCCACAGTGGGGCAATGTAAGAACGCTTGCAAAATCACCTACCATGTGCTTATTAGGAAACCTCAGGGCCTTGAGAAATAAGGAGGGAATATTCTAGATCTGCAGTTCTTAAACTTTTGATCTTAAATGCTATTCAAGATGCTGAGACCATCTTTACGTGAGTTCTATCTAGTGATATTTATCCTATCATTAATTCACTGAAATAACAACATATTAGCATAACAAAATATCTTTAAAATAATTACATTTTCCAAATCAAAAATGTTTAAACATGAAGAATGACACTCGTGCACATTTTTGCAAACCTCTCCACTGTCTGAATTAATAGACGACAGCTCCCTTGCTGTGAGGCAACCCACTACTAGCTGGGGTTTCAGGATGGAAATCCCGCCTCCCACAGCTATATGGTTGGATACAGAGCAGCAGATTTGAGGAAAGGGCAGCAGTAGACAGACAGACTCTAGAAGCCCCAAAGCTGTGGTCCTGGCTGGGTCAGAGATCAGGGGTCAGGGGTCAGGGGTGCAGTTGCCAAAGACAAAACAGGGGATTCTTTTTCCTTATTTCCTATCTTTCATTTTTCCAGTTTTCTACAGTAAAGGAGAAAGTATCACTTTCATAATAATATTTTTAGAATTTCAGTCAAATTGCTTCTTCCAAAACTTGGCAACAGTATTTCAGACTCATATATTACAGTCAGAATGAGATTACAGAATATGAAATTCTAAGATCTCTGACTTATGTGAGGAGCAAAATACACCCAAATGGGAGAACCCACGTGTCAGAGACAAGCATCCAGAGCTATGTGGCTCCCTGGTATCCCACCACCACCTCCTGTGTGGAGACAGGGCAAAAACAAGTGTCCAATGTCACACTGGTAGAGACAGTCAACAGGGAAGGAGTAGATGAGGAGGAGGATGTGGGCAAGTTAAGAGGAAGCCCTGTTAGCCCAGTCTTCACACACAGTCCCACACCTCAAAAGAAATGCACACACTAGGTTCTCACGTTGTGCCCAAGAGTCCATGCTCCACATGGACAGTCTGTTCTCCATAAGGACAGTCCATCTCTACATGGACAGCCTGTCTCCATATGGACAGGCTGTACTCCACATGGATAGCCTGTGCTCCACATGGACAACCTGTCTCCACATGCACAACCTGTACTACACATGCACAACCTGTACTACACATGGATAGTCCATCTCCATATGGATAGCCTGTGCTCCACATGGGCAGCCCATCTCCATATGGACAGCCCATCTCTATATGAATAGCCCGTGCTCCACATGGACAGTTTGTCCTCCATAAGGACAGCCCACCTCCACATGGACAGCCTGTACTCCACATGGACAGCCTGTGCTCCACATGGACAGTATGCTGTACGTGGACAGCCGGTCTCTACATGGACAGCTCATGTTCCATGTAAATGGCCTGTGCACATGGAGAGCCTCTGGACTAGGAAGCACAGGCTACAAATTCATTCCTGATTTGGTCACCAAATGACTAAAATAGAACCTCACCATCTATTTTCTCTCAGTCTCTGAGAAGTTCTAGAATTCTAGAGCTAGTGTTGCTGCTTATAAGTAGTGAACTGAAGTCACTCTTCCTCCTTGCGACCTTCATAAAGAAAGATGTGAGAGGCCTGGAGAGGTCAGAGCTAGGATCCTGGCCATGTTCCCTCAACAGCATGCATACATTCTCACAAGAGCAAGAACTGAATAGATATGTGTATGAGTGTGTGTGTGTGTGTGTGTGTGTGTGTGTGTGTGTGTGTCTGTGTCTGTGTCTGTGTACAACTGGGTGTCTGTGTTTGTATCTATATGTGTATATATCTGTGTCTGTGTGTCTGTGCAGTGTGTATGTCTAGTGTGTAGAGTGTCTGTATGTATCCTTATGTATATGTCTGTGTGCCTGTGTGTATGTGTATCCATACGTGTATATCTGTATGCATGCCCAAATATGTGTGTGTGTCCATATATGTATGTCTGTGCATCTGTATATGTATGCTTGTGTATTAATGCAATATTATATTAAGTGCCTTCAAATGCCAAGGCACTTAATATAATAAGTGCCTGTGTGTGTCTGTGTATATGTGTTTAAGTGTGTGTCTGTGTGTGTATCTGTGTCTGTATGTATCTCTCTATGTATGTGTATCTGTGTCTATGTGTGTTTGTATGTATGTATATCTGTGTGTCTCCTTGTACAGTGTGTATGTCCCATGTTTGTGTCCATATGTGTATGTCTGTGCATATGTGTGTATCTCTCTGTATGTGTGTGTCCATATGTGTATGTCTGTATATGTGTATGTCTCTCTGTGTGTATCTGTGTTAAAGAGAGAGAGAGAGAGAGAGAGAGAGAGAGAGAGAGAGAGAGAGTTCCTGTATACCACCCCCTGAACCAGGGGAAAGCAGAGAGGTATCTGGCAGATGGTGGATTTGATTTGGAGCACTTCAGGGATAAGATTGAAGGAAAACAGTAAATCCAGGTCAAAGCCCAGCTCTAAACAGGTGCTTATCAGCTAGATATCTCAATTATAAGCAACCAAACCTCTAATAATCTGTTTGCAGTTCCTAAAAATAACTGAGAAGTTCTCTGTTCAAAGTAACTATTTCAGGGGGTGAAAGGATGCCTCAACAGGTGACAGTGTACAAATTCAATGATTCAAGTTCAGTCCTGGGAACTCACATAAAAGCTAGATGTGGTGGCATGCATCTGCTTACCCAGCACTCCTATGGTGAGAAGAGAGGCAGAGCCTGGAGAACTGGCTAGCTCACGGGTCAGCTAGCCTAAAGTATGAAGAGCAGCAGACAGACCTAGATAGACCCTGTGCAGCAAGGTGGAAGGCAAGAACCCACTCCCAAAAGCTGTCCTCTGACCTCCACATGTGTACTATGGCACATGCACACACACATAAACATTTTTAAAAGATTTTATTATTTTTATTTTATGTATATGAGAGTGTTACGGCTGTGAGTGTACCTGTGTTGCACAATGCCCAAAGAGGTAAGAAGAGAGTAATGGATTCTCCTGGAACTGGAGTTACAGACGGTTGTTAGCTGCCATGTGGGTATGGGGAAATCGAACCCAGATCCTCTGTAAGAGCAGCCAGTGCTCTTAACCAGTGAGCCATCTCTCCAGTCCCCTATTTTACACTTATAATAGCACCAATTTGACTTTTAGCAATGGCAATCTTCTGCTTGAGCCATCCTTTCTAGAAGTGTGAGTCATCAGGAGTGAACAATGCTGCTGCCTCCCCAGGGACAGTCCCTCCTGTGCTGTCATACTGCAGCCTGCATCCCTACACCCCTCTGTATAAAATTGTCAAAAGCAGTTGTCCACCCTGTCCACTGGTGTTTGGGGGCACAACTTCAGATTCAAGACAGAGGCATCTTATTACATAGTTCTACCTTTTTAACCTCAAAGTGGTTCCTGGTGAGGGAATTGGCTGCAAAGCTCTTATAACAGAATCACATGGGAGACAATGTGTGCACGGCACATGCTCATGAGCCTGTGTGTGACTCTTACTTTCACTTCAGTTCAGCAATATTCTACCTTACCAAGTAAGTTTCCATTTCTTTTTCCAGGAGGACTTGTTCGTACAGTGTCGTGTCCATATCCACCCTTAAAGCCTGTACCTTCCTCTTCACCTGCGCACAGTGCTTCCGCTGGAGCCAATAAGGAAGAAGAGATTCTACAACTTGGTTCAGGATCTGGGAGGTGATCAGGAGTGTGGCCAGGCTCTGGGAAGAAGCATAAGCAACATGTCTGGCAACAGCTTAATGAAACCTCAACATGCACACATCAGGCAATGAGCAAAATCAAACCTTTAATAAATGCTCAATATTGTGTTTGAAAACCTAGTGTGAGACAGCTAGGCTCAGAGCAGTGTTCTAAGCCATGATTTTTCACAGAAAAAAATTTAGAATGAAATACAAATTAAGATTGTAAGAAATTAGCTGGGTCAGTCCTGGTGGCACACGACTTTCATCCCAGCACTCTGGAGGCAGAGACAAGTGGAGCTCTGTGAGTTCAAGGTCAGCCTGGTCCGCATAGTGAGTTCCAGGGAGACCCTGCCTAAAAAATTTTTTTAAATAAATAAAGTAACCAAAAGATAATAATAAAATGGAATATGATCAAGGAAGACATCCAGTATAAATCTCACCTCCATACACATACACACACACACACACACACACACACACACACAGACACGGACACGGACACGGACACAAACAGACACACATGGACACACACAAACATACACAACAGAAATTAATACTCTGAATTCAGTTTATTGGTCAAGAAACTCCACAATACTCCAAAACACAGGCCGAACCGTCTCAAACATTTCAGACATGAAATAGTACCACATAGGTCTTGCTAGTCTCTCAAATGTAACAAGTTATTAATGTAAAAACAAAATTAGAAAGACTTGTTCATGATTATACTAACCATCACCTCCCCAAGGCACTCATCAAAGTTCAACCGTTACAGTCCCCTGTACTGTTAGAACTGTCTTTGTGGGAGCTTTGTGATGTTTGTACATTCTTTGCTGCCTTATGAGATTAAGTTTGCAAGCATATTAGGGTTAATGAACCTGTACTCTGTTGTTGCTAATGCTATTTAGAGTGGGAGATAGAAATGAACAAAATTTTATTTGTAAAAAGAATAAAGACAAGTCCATCTTGGGCAGGAAGCCACCCATGGGACCTTTCCCCTCGGTGTCCGTCAGCCACATTCACCTCATCCCTCAGTGTCCGTCAGCCACACTCACCTCATCCCTCAGTGTCCGTAAGCCACACTCACCTCATCCCTCAGTGTTCTGTCAGCCACACTCACCTGGCGCAAAAGTTTCATGTCCTTCAGGACAAAAGCAATGTAGAAGAGCGAGGCGAAGCAATTCAGAAAGTTGAACTGCCAGAAAAGATAACAGTGTCACATTCTGCTCACATACTGTAAACAGCATTTACAACTATGAAGAGGCCGGACTTAGTGGCACACATCTTTAATGCTAGCACTGGGGAAGCAGAAGCAGATGGATCTCTGTGAGACTGAGGCCAGCCTGGTCTAGAAAGCGAGTTCCAGGCAAACTGGGGCAACTGGGAGACTCTTTCAAAAGTAAACAAACAAACAAATAAATAAAAGTATGATAGACATTTACAACAGACAGATAGCCTGGCACTGTTCCTCCCTGGGACTCCTCCCTGAATTCAACTATCAACTCTGGAAGTGACAGGAGACGCAAACCACCGAGAGTTCTGGCAGGTGCCAAGGGGAAGAGGAACTGCACAAAGCCCCAGGACCAAAGGAGCAATGTGTCCCCTATACATCTCACAGTCCCCACCTGGGAGGAGACCAGGCCCTGAACCAGGCTGGTGGGATCCTGATCCTATGCAAACAGAAGCTCACCCACCCTGAGAAATCAGTAGAACTGGTAAGGACAATCAGCAACCTCCTCAGCACATGTGAGGGAAGAACTGTCTTTCCATGGGGTCAAGATAGCTTGCCACATGGAAAGATGCAGGGGCCAGGCAGCTGTGGTAGATAAACCTGGAAAGACTCCACTCCACTAAGCAGCCCAGACCTAGAAGCTGCTGTGAGCACATGGACTTGAACTCTCACCCTACACCATGAGGCAGTAGGGTAGCACTGGCAGGGAGACCCCATCACAGCAGGAGTCCTAAGTCTAATACCCCTCCTTCATGGAGACATTGGGGTGTCTCCACCAGCAAGGGGAATAGGATGTACATTTGTCACCACAGGCACAGGCACTGCCTGACAGATGTGCAGTGACCACCTGGGGAGCTTGAGTACCAGTCCAGGGAACTTCGTTACAAAACGTGTCACATCCTTAAGCAGTCCCCTGGGTCAAAACTCCTTGCCTGGTAGTTTCCTTCCTGCGTTCCATCCCCGTGCTCCATCCTATGGCCTCCTGGGCAGCTTCACCTTCTGAGATGAGGCTACCAGCTGTTCAGTAAGCCACTAGTTAGTGTAGACGTGGAGTCATCCTAGATGGACAGCAGGGAAACCCTCAAGAACACAGCTTGGGAACTCGGCCACAGCAGATGCTGAAGAGCCAACACCTGGGAGGCTGAGGTCGCCATCCCCATAAGAGTCAAGGAAGATGAGCCCCCACAAACCTACTGGAAGAAGAAGGATCTGATGGGGTCTTTTCACAGGTAGCCACCTGGGACTGGATCTGGTATAGACAGAGAATGCCAAAACCTTGCACCTACTGAGTGAAAAACAAATGGAGTCCTTTCGACTCTACAGTAAAAGCTCCACATCAAAACCTTGTAACTACAAGCCATCCTTGCCTCTCTTCCTGGATACCAACATCCGCAACGCTAATTACTGCTCAGGATGAGTGAGGCCCTCAACCTACTTAGACACTCAAGGCCACTGTCCACTTTCGTGACCAAACTGTTGAGTTCTCACCTGTTTATGGCAAGCTTTTCTAGTTCATCACCTGCTCAAGCCTCTATAAGTTCACCTACTCCCAGAAATCTCCTACGGTGCTTCTGGCCTTCTGGGGACAAGATTCAGGTGGACAAGCTTAGAATCAAAGTGCTTCTGAGTGCATAGTGCATGGGCTGCTGGGCCACTGCAGGGAAAGTTCAGAGGTGCTGACACAACTTTCCTGAGCCTCAATGCAATGTTGTCGGAAGGGAAACTCTCTGGGAAGTAGGGGAGGGTTTTTCCAGCTGAGATTCTCAACTACTTATGAAAATGCTGAGGAAAGAAGGGAAAAGAACTTTTATCCAAACTCCAGGCTTATCCCACCAGGCTTTCTCCCCAGCTCTTCCGCCCACCAACCACATTGGGAACCTCTTGGAATTTGGAAATTTCTTCAGAAAATAAATAAATAAATAAATAAATTAAAATATATATATATATATATCTCACTAAGTAGATTGTGGGTACCTGGAAGGATTGTTGCATAGTGAAATATTAAAAAGGTCATTAAACAGAAACACGTCTAAATATCATCGGCTTTGTCTGTAACTACAAACGGATGATTTCTATATTGGGAAACACCATGTGCATTATAAGGCTACTAAACAAGAATGTACACATTTACTAACTAATCTTTGCCTGTTGCAAAAAATATGATTGATACTTTAAGTTAGAAGCAATTCTTCCTATGAGCACTCCTAAATATTAAATAGCATGCATTAGTTTCATAATTTAAATAGATTTGAACAATGAAAATTCCACTTACCACCAACACTTTTAGAACTAAATGATTCTGGTAGGCAGATTCCAATCTGTGGTTCTCTAAAATATTTAAAAGGAGATATAATTTCCTTTTTAGGAAACAATAAACTATACAGGTGCTTTATCATGAGATAAAGCAGGTCAGTGCTCAGACAGACATCTAACACTAGAGCCACAGTCACTAAACATTGCAAGCTGGTAGTCACAGCCATGCCTTGCCACTAAGGACATCGGTAAGAATGCATGCTCACCCACGGAATGTCATTGTGGTCTGAAATTGTTTTTAATATATGAAAAAAGACATTCAGTAAGCATTGTCAAATGAGCTTACAGCCATCCATCTGAAAGAAGGGCAGGTAGGATGGCAGCAGTAAGAGCTGTTAGTAACACTAGAGAGAAGGGCAATAAAGTTTCTGAACAGTGGCTTACTGGGGTCAACTTTAAGAGAATTCAGTTCCAACTTCATCCAGAAATAGCAACACAGTATAATGACCCCAAGACAGCAGAGCAAGGACAGAAAGGAGCATCACAAGAGGGTCCCCACATAGGGCAATGGGGCCAACGCCACGTCCTGCTACTCAGTCTCCTGCCCTTCTACACACAGCTGACCACTGCCTGGATGGCTGTGGAGGTCAGAAGCAACATACAACTCCAGTACACAGAAAACCCTCAGTAATCTGGCTGCTGCTTTATATATAACTAATAAAAAACTAAAACATCTTTATATCCATGAAGTTAAGGCTCACTTCTTCCTACAGGGTCATAAAGCACATTTATTTGTTTTAACTCTACCCAAGTGCTTCTTTCCCATGGACGCATGCATAAGCACCCAGTCCTAGGTCATTCATCCTCAATGACAGCCCAAGTGACCAAACCAATTAGACCATCACCTTTAGGACACTAGCCATAGTTCACATATTTTTATTTCACCTTTAGCACAAAACACAATGTTATAGTTTTGGACAGGTTTTAGACAGATGATTCTGGCCTCCCCTAACTACACTATCTGTTGTCAGAGCCTTGTTAAGCATCAAAATCTTTTATCCACAAAATGGTGAAAGAGCTTCTATTTCCTGATGCCCTGAAGAGGTAAAAACAAGAAACTATGGACAAAGTGCTTAGCAGCGCACCCAGGAGATGGGACATTGCACTGGATAGATAGGACCGAGAGAGCCACAGCACAGATCTTCAGAGCTCACACAGCCTGTGAACTTGTCCTGAGGTCTCTGTAGAAAGCCCCAAGGACAGCAATCTTCTCTGCAAAGCAGCAGCCAGGTGAGTCCTGTGACCTAAGTGTACATGTGTGTGTAGATGCACACACGTGAAAGCGCAAATGCAGAGGGCAGAGGAATGTGTTGGTGTCTTCCTCAATTGCTCTCCACCTCACTATTTTTAAACAGGAACTCTCACTGAACCTGAAGCTCACTATCTCAGCTAGGCTGGTTGGCCAGTTAGGTACTGGGATCCGCCTGTCTCTACATCTCCAACACTGGGTTTCAGGCATGTACAGCCATGCCCAGCTTTTACATAGGTGTTGGGATTTGAACTCAGGCCCTCTTGCTTTCACAGAAAGCACTCTTACCCACTGCACCATCTCCCCAGCCCCATAAGCAACATTTCTTCTGTGTGTGTAGATGTGTGTGTGCATGTGTGTATGTGTATGGGCACACAAGTGCCCCAGCACATATGTGGAAGTCAGAGGACAACTTGTAGGAGCTGGTTCTCTCCTTCCAGTATGCAGGCATGGGGATCAAACTTGCTGAGGCATCTGCCCAGCCCTGTTAAGCAACACTTCTTACAGGCAAAGAAGACATGAGTTCAGAGTATGAAGGCTTACCCCAGGACGTTAAGAACTCAGCAGCGTATCGATAGAGGCGGTTCATGATCTCGATGACAATGGCATAGATGATACTGGGCACATACAGTAGGACATTGGTCCACTCAGATCCACTGTCCTCATGGAGACTCAAGGCCCAGACCTCCATGTCAAAGTAAATCATCATGACGTAGAGGGAGAAATAGAGGCAGAGGCACACAAATGGCAGGGAGACCAGGTAGATACGCAGCTGCCTCTTGTAGCTGGAATAGAGCGGTTCCTCTCTGCCGGTGACAGAATTGATGCCCAGGACCCCATGAAACCCTGGCCGGGGCTCTTCAAACTGCCTCTTCATGACCAGAGTCCCCCAGCGGTAAGTCATGTTGGCACAGCCACGCTTCCACACCTCCAGGATCACTGTGGACCAGATGAGGTTGAAGGATGCAAAGATCACGTACTTGTCATAATCTTCCCACACAAACAGGTAGTACGGCAGCCCAATGACGGCCATGGGAATCAGGGCAAAGGTGAAATACTCCAGGAATCCAAAGTACAGAGCAATTGTCTCCCCAAAGTAGCCACGAATACTGTCTACAAAGGAAGGAAGAGCTTAGGTATGAGTCACCAAAGACCACCACCTACCTGTGGCAGTAAGGAGGTGTGCATTTTCAGTCACTGGGGATCACTTAGCACTCCACTTTCCATTCAGTATGGAGAGTCAACTGTGTCCCACATGTAGCACAAGGGCCCTACTTATCAGTATGGCAAGCCTAGCACTTCCCCAGCACACAGCTCACCTATCAGTATGGCGAGCCCAGCACTCCCCCAGCACATAGCCCAGGCTCAGTTGCTGAGGTGACTGCCAGGGGTGCTGGCTCAGTTTCCCCTTTCACTTCCTTCACCTAATAGATACTTTCTTTCCAAAAAAAAAACTCATCTTGAGATTGGTCTGACATCTAAGGTCCTATGTTAAGTTCATCCATGGACACTGAATCACTGTGTGGGGGTATTCTTGTATGCCCCTCACTTTTCTCCCCCCTCAGTGTGTCATAAAAGCTCATTTTAAAGATGGCTCCCCATCCACAGTACCCTGAGCCCTCAACCTAAAGGTACACATTTTCATCAGTAAAGCATGACAAATATCCCATGCACTTAGCACAAATTATTCACAAGCTCAAAATGAGACTCTGCACATTAACCACCAGCACAGCCTATGGGAGCACATTCTTCTACACCATTCCATGAGCACAGAATGAAAGGCCAGAAGGTCAGAGCAACCTACTGAATGCTACACACTACCCAGAGAAGCCGTGCATACATCACCTCTGCCAGCCTTGCTACCCAGAGAATGCCTGGACCCCGAGAGCAGCCAGGGACAACAGCTGGATGTAAGGGCAGGAGGGGCAAGACACCAGTCAGAGTAACTGGTTCTTGGTTAACTATACAAGTAAATCTTTTTTTTCCCTCATTTTTTGAGTCCCAGCTGGCCTGGAACTCTCTATGTAGACCAGGCTGGCCTGGATCTCACAAAGATCTGCCTGCCTCTGTCTTCCAAGTGCTGGGATTAAAGAAACACACCATCACATCCATCTTTAATTCATTAATATGTGTATTTTTATGTGTGTATATGTGTGTCTGCATGTTTGTATGTGTACCATATACATGCAGGTGCCAGCAGAGGCCAGAAGAGGGCTTCATATCCTATGGAACTGGAGTTTCGTGTTGCCCAGAATGAGTGCTGGAAACTGAATCTGGGTCCTCTGCAAGAGCAGTAGTGCTCTTAACCATTGAGCCATCTCTCTAGCCCCTTAATCCATTGTTCTTTAAGATAATATGTTCAGATCAGCCTACAGAGGTAGGTTAGACTAAGTTAGGATAAGCTATTTATTCCTATCCTTGATTCTCCTAGCTGACCTAGGAAGGTAATCAAACAGTGATGTGATAAGGTCATCTCAAATCCAATCAGGCTGAAGGCTGCCCAATCAGTGGGGAAACACTACATGCTCATGTGCTGGGCTCTAAGCCAGTGGTCTTTCCTTTTGCTGGCTACTATCAGCAGGCCCAGCCCTCCCAAGGGCCTCAGTCCACCCACCTCATGCCCAGGTTTCTCCATTAGCTTTCTCTTCCCTTCCAAGAAGGAGCTAATAGAGCCTGTCATCTCACAGGTCCTGCAGGCAATATTCAAATCATCGTCACTTAAAATACCAAAAAAAATTAGAAAATTGTAAGTACAACATCATATGAGTACTATGTGAACCAGAATTATCAAAACCAAAGCTTACAATGCCAAAGTTTCATCTTAAAACAATTTTTGTGCCAAGTATGGTAGCATATGCATTTAGTTCCAGTACTCAGGAGGCAGGGGCAGATGGATCTCTGTAAGTTCAAGGCCAGCCTGGGCTACATAGTGAGACCCTATCTCAAAAAACAAAGAATAAAACAAAACAAAATTTGTGTTTACTGTTCCACACAATAACAGTTGTTTATAGGAATGGAAATTAGAAAGGAAATATAGATGGAGTCACTTAAAATCAAACTTTAAAATAAAAAAATAACACATGATAAAGTCTGCCAGATTAAATATAATCTAATGCTTGGAAAACATAGTCAGGGGCTTGGGATATGCCTCAGCAATAGAGTGCTTGCCTAGAGTTCACAAGGTCCTAGGTTTAGTCCCCCAGGACTGACAAAGGAATTCAAAGATTGATCCAGAACAGAACTAGGGGCTGGAGAGATGGCTTAGCGGTTACAAGTACATGTTGTCCTTACAAACCCAGGCTCAGTTCCCAGCAACCACATCAGGCAGCTCACAGCTTGTAACTTCAGCTCCAGGGGTCCCAACACTCTTGTCTGGCCTCACATGCACATATACAGACACATAGACACATACAGACACAGACACAGACACAAACACAAACACAGACACAAGCACACACACAATTAAAAAACAAAATAAATATTAAAATACAAAATATTTGAAAATTCATACTGGTATACTTTTTTATAAAGTAATAGTCAACATGCCAGTCTGAACTGCCCAAGTTGTTGACCAAACTTAGCCAAAGCCTGTGGTATAGCCAATCTAGAATTCATTTGCAAAGTAGGGCACACCTTTAATCCCAGCACTCAGAAGGCAGAGGAGGATCTCTGTGAGTGTGAGATCATCATAGTCTACAGAGCCAGTTCAATGCTGGCCCAGCTACATAGTGAGACCCTGTCTCAGAACAAAACAAAACAAAACAAACAAAACACAAAACAACACAATACAACACAAAACAAGTTAAACAGAACAAGGCCACAGAGCCATCTTCTTCCCCAGAGTTGCTAAGCAGTGGACAAACGAGCCTGCCTTGGGGGTGGGGGAGGGGGGAGGACTAGGACACCATACCCCCACAGAGCCATCCTCTTCCTCAAAGAGTTGCTAAACACTAGTCAGAAGAGCCTACCTCTGGGGGTGGGGGAGAACTGCACTACCACCAATGGTTTCATTTGGGCTCTTCCTGTTCAGTGAATGCAGGCAGAAGTGCCTACCTATGGGCTGATACTTCAGGGAAAACCGAGTATACCAAGTGTCCTCAAGCTTCTTGAGCGCCTCCCCATCATGCAGTGGGAACACCTGGGTTACGATGCCGGATGTGAGCAATCTTCTCACTGCAGAGGGAAATGTGAGAATTGTATAAGACATTGGAGTGTCTCAGACACCATCAGCAGAGGGTACAAGGACACCCTAGTTGGGGAGCAGACCACACAGGGTCAAGGTCACACAGTACAACCAGCTCTAAACATGAACACTTGTGTTTCAGAATGTGACTATCTTTACTGTTTTCTCTATGAAAGCAATACAGTTGATGTAGAATTCGAAACCATACAAATTAGATAAATCAGAGCATACATGTCCTCCATTTTTTTCTTCTGTATAAAAAGCCACTATAAATAGCAATTTAATTTTAACTATTGAAAATGATACACAAAAGTCCTAATATTTAGACAAAATGGAATCTTTTAGGCACATCATACTGCTGTGTTCTTTCCTCATGTCATTTTATCCAGTATTTTTCATCAGAAATATGAATTGAAAGCTAAATGTCCTTTTCACACTGTTGTAATACTCCCCTGCATGGGGCTAGAGAGATGGCTCAGCATTTAAGAGCACTGGCTGTTCTTGCACAAGACCCTGGTTCGAATCCTAGCACCCATATAGTGCCTAATGACTGTTCATAACTCCAGTTCCAGGGGATCCAACATCTTCCTCTGACCTCCACAGGCATCGCACAACACGGATGCACTTACATACATGCAAGCAATATACTCACACACATAAAATAAAAATAATAAATAAAATTTAAAAATATTCCCCTGCATGAAATACTATAGTTTAATCCTGTACTGGGAATAACTGTTTCCAGTTTTTGTTGTCATGAATAATTGTGAAATTCTTATACAAATACCATTTCCCACCTGTTTATTCTTCCCTTATTATATATACTTAGAAGTGAACTTGCTAGGCCCCAGAGAAAATGTATTTTATATCTGGACACACCGCAAAAAATTGCCTCCCCAAATATTTGTCAACCATTCCATCACTACAGTGAAGGCAGAAAAATATTAAGTTCCTTTCATTTTTGTTGCCATTGAGTATTTTCAGTCATTTTCACCTTTCCGACTTAATGACAATGACAAAGGCATATCCACAAATAGAAAATAGGAAAGTCACATAAGATCCCCATCTCTTTCAGCAGTATAAGTACTTGACAAGCGTGGCTGGAACACAGAGCACAAATAACCATGTCTCCTGGCCATGAGTCCTAAACGAAATGAAACCCTAGTGTCCTCTCATCTGCTATAGTTACGGAAGGTAGACCACAGGGTGGAAGGGACCCTCGGGGCTTATGAGTATGATCAGCACTCACGGGTGGCACCTGGGGAGATGGTGGTGCTTTCTTCCTGAATCCTTGGTAGTGTCTCTCACTAAGAACATGGCTGTTCACAAGATGGAATTTGCTTCAGGAAAGAAAGCTCTGCTGAATTTAGATTCTGATTAAGTCTGCTACTAACAAGACAGAAAATTCAGGGTCTGAGGCGAAAGGATTCTTAATGCATCAGAGTAAGTTCTACACAGAGGAAGAAAAACTTTAAAATGCAGGACTGTGATGAAACCCCCTTAACAACTGGGAAAGGGCCAGGCCCAAAATATCAGCAGTAAAGGTGAGATGACAAGAGGTTTGAGTTATGTCGACTCCAGGTGCTGTCAAGTCCATTTTGTAAGTACTTTTAATCTAGAGTTTCTGTGGATTTTTCTTTGGCTAATGTGATTTCAAGTTGGTCGCCCACAACCTTCCAGTTCTGGCCTTTGTCTGGCGTGCCAGGCTTGCTGCTGGGTCTCTTTATCATGAGCCTTTTCCATTGCTGGCCTGGGTTTTAAACTTCAGGCCGGCTTGCAGCATCTAAATTATTATTTTGCAATTTCCAGGTTCTTTTATAAAAAGACAACTCTACTATCAAAGATTTTCTAGGCAGGCACAAAAACCGGCTGTGTATCTCTAAAAATAGGTGTGTGAACGAAGCCCTCAGAAAAGATATAAGGCCATGAGTCCTAAATTACTAGGCTTCTCGTCACCATCAACTCCAGAGCATGGTTCTACTTTCAGTGTCTAAAAATAGAGACTTGCCTCCTTAAAAATCCTTCAGCCTTCTCATGTCAGCTCTGAGGGTAATTACTAAGAAGGGCTCTTACCTTGAAAGGAAAATAGCCTACCTCATGGGTCTAACTGAAAAAGACAACAACTTAAGCCAGATTCCCTCATTCCAGGGTGTAGAGGACGCTGCATCAAGTACTAGGGAGACCAGCGAGGCACTAGGAGATTAGCAAGAAAAACTAAGATCTACTCCAAGGGAGACTGTGGGCTGCCTGGTCTGCAGGAGGATGCTCCAGTTAGATAAGGCAATGACAACGCTAACAATGCCACCTTTGGCTTACGTGGTACATTCTTCAAAAGGAAAAGCAGGTCGGTCTTGGGTCTCTGTACAGAGATCTGTACAATGGGGAGGAACAGGCCACCCCTCCTGGATCTGAGCAGGCCAGAGAGTGGAGGGCCATAGGAAGGCAAGGGGCAACAGGAAGGAACGATCAGCACTGCCTTGCTCCACGAATATGGAGAATGCTGTCAGAAAGCACCTCTCACAGTGCTGATGGGTGCCATATTGAACAGGCAATCTGCCCATCAGCCCCTAAACAGCAGATCCCACCAGTTCAAATGGGAAAGGAGCCTGCCATTGGTATTTAGGTGTCAAACTTGACACTCCTGGGAAGAAGGAACCTCAACTGGGGGATTTCTTCCATTGGCTTGGCCTGTGGGCTTGTTATGAGGCATTTTCTTGATTGTTGGGAGATGTGGGAAGGTACAGTCGACTGTGGGAGGTGCCACCCCTAGGCAGATGGTCCAGGGATGTATAAGAAAGGCTGAGCACTGGTCATGGGAGCAAACCAGTAGCAGTATTCCTGTGGTCTCTGCTTCAGCTCCTGCCTCCAGGTTCTGCCCTGAGTTCCTGCCCTGGCTTCCTTCAAAGATGAACTGTGATCAAGACTTGCAAGCCAAATAAACCCTTCCCTCCCCAAGTTGGTTTTGGTCTTTGTGTTTATCAGAAGAGAAGCTAACTAAGACAGAGCCTTTCCACTGAGCATGAACACCTAAGGAGCTGGGATTTTAAATCACTCTCAGTTTTACTAGCTCTGAAATCTGCATTCTGAAAATAATTCACAATTATAACTACACACATACCATTTCACTTCACCAAAATAAAATACAAAAGTAACAGATTTTAATGATCTAATTTCTGAAGCTCTAAAGTAACACAGAACTTAAAAAATCTAGACTTGACAAATCCAATGTGATTCTTAACTCAGATGGTATAAAAACCCTTTCAATGACCATGAGAGATGGCATTACTGCTTTTATATTTAGTACTAAAGAAAGGGAAGGAGGGTGGGAGAATTCTTGTTCAGAAAAATCCTCACCCAGGGGAGAAGGTTATTTCTGCACTTCAGGACAGAGGCTGGCTTTCCTACAGCCAAGAGAAACCCTTGAAACACCTCCTTCCCACTTCCTTTCAGCTGAAAATGTCTTTTTGAAGCAAGAGGGAGCTTTGAGCAAAGACCAGATACTTCACAGTTGGCTACTGTGCGCATGCACTCTCCTTCTGGGCTACCCAGAGGATGTGGGGAAACTACAGGCAGTTCGGTGATGCTGATGGATGTGGGTGAATGGGGAGAGATAGAGGCTTTCACTGCACCAGGACGAGGCCTTGGAGGTCCCTGTACGGTACCAGAGCACTACCCTGGAACATGCCCTCCAACAAACAGATTCAGACAGCACACCAGCCAACTGTTGGACCTTGGAATGTGGGAACCAGGTTGTCGAGAGCAGCAGAGCCACCACAGTCCTGTTTGTTCATGTATACCAAATCAAAAACAGGGAACATCAAAAAGATGTTAAAATACCCTATCTTTTATGAAAAGAAAAAAAAAGCCTTACAAATTCAGATCACAGTCTTTGAAATAAAGTCTTGAAAGTAGGCTTGGCAGGAACGAAGGTCCCCACCTGCCTTTGAAATCTGGGCCCTGCAGGCATCTGGTGGTTGTGGGATTGGTTGTGGTTCCTCTGGGGCACCACAGAGTGGGTGGCATGGGGCAGGAGCATAGAATAGACTCCAGAGATGCCTGCGGCAGCCCAGGAAAAACTGCAATCCATTCTGAAGCTCTGAATCAAGGCCAAATCCAACAGAATCCTGGCAAGCACTGGGGTCCATAGGAAGTTTCTACAGAGACTCAGCTGCCTCCGGGGGGAATTCAATCTACAAAAAAAAATCCAAGCCTCTCCCTACCAGGGCTCTCTGCCAGAGGCCCCAGCTACTCTTCCCTCCCACATCCACACTCCCTCCAAAACTGCCAGTCTGGGGGAAAATAGGGGTTCACTAAAAAATAAACTGGTAGTGACTCACACTGTAATCCCAATGCTCAGGAGGCTGAGTCAGGAGGATTGCTGCAAGTTTGAAAGTAGTCTTGGCTACGCAGTAAGTTCCAGGCCAGCTTGGAATGCAGACTCTCAAAAGGCCATGATGGGCTGGAGAGATGGTTCAGCAGTTAAGAGCACTAGCTACTATTGCAAAGGACCCAGGCTTGATTCACAGCATCCACATGGCAGCTAACAACTGTCTGTAACCCCAGTTCCAGGGGATCCAACACCCTCTTTTGACCTCTGTGGGTGTTACACAACATGGGTATATCTAACTACGTGGAGGTAATACACTAATATACATAAAATAAAAATAATAAATAATTTTTAAAAATTTTTAATAAGTAATAATTACAAAGAAACTGGCAGGTCTACATAGAAATGTTACAAAGAAAATCAAAACAGAGAAAAACTATAGGAAATTATATTATCAAGCAACAAAAAGCTTGTAAATTCTTTACAAAGTTGCAAACATCAAGAATGCAAATATCACATCTCTAAAATTAAAACTCAAGAAAGGGCTATGAGAACTGAAGGAAAGTTTTCCAAAAGGCAATGTGAGAAAAAAAAATAAAACAGCTACAAATTCAAAATCATAATACAGTTACAAAAAGAGAAAGACCAAAACCACAGTTGGGAAAATGGCAGACAAGCTGAGGAAAACCATGTAGGAACAAAGACTTTAAAATATCACAGAGACTATAGAGCGGCACTGGTGTGATCCACACCCTAGAGACAAGAGCACAGCGAATACATCCAAGTGACTCTTCAAAGCCATCCTCAAACGATGACCATCTTTCTCTATACAGTGATGGTTCGGTGCCCAAGAAAGAACACAGAGGACAGAGGACAAGAAAGGGACAGGCAGAAAATCCATGACTGAAACATTATTACAGACCAAAGGCCTGATATTCACAAGTCAACTCCATGAAAAACTGTAAAGGAGAAGCTTCTCTATTCAGAGACACTGAAGACATACAACAGCAAAAAAAGTGAGCCATCTTTGATGGGACCTTGATTTGGGCAGACTCTAAAGTGCATTGGGTAGCAACTGGGGAATGTGAATGTGGACTGGCTCTTGAGGCTCTGTCCTCCAGCATAGAGAGTGGAAGATGTATTCTACCAAGTAATCAAAGGAAACCAGGCTAGTTGTGTAGTGCACACCTTTAATCCTAGCACCTGGGAGACAGAGACAGGTGCATCTCTGAGAGATTGAGGCCAACTAATCTAAGTAAGAGTTCCAAGTCAGCCAGGGCTACATAGTGAGACCAGACATGGGGACAGAACTGGAAGGCCAAAGGGTATTTTAAGAAGCAAAAGTGTTCTGAGGCCTTGCCATAGCCTGGGTTGGAAGCAAACTTGGAATTACACACTGGTGCTCTTCCATTCTGCAAAGCACTATGATCATTATGGTCCAATTACAAGGCTCATCCAGCAACTGCTCCATTTTGTAAAGATGTAAACTTCTCTGTTGGCTTGTGTTCACCTCAGTGAGCTCAGAGGGAACAAGAAGAGGACTCCAGGACCAGACAGAGTCTTGGCTTTCACAGCCCACCACTCTGTGATTTTCATCAGGGTACAATGTTTGAGCATAATGTAAACTTTGCTCATCTTAATAAGTGATGCACCTATGTGTGTACACTGAGTTTTAAGATATATATATATATATATTTTACAAGAGCTTGATAAAGTAATAGCAAAACATACAGAACAAACGACTTAAAGGCACAATGAGGCTCAAAGGGCAAAAAATACGTTCAGGAAAAAATAAGTTATTGTAAAGTTCTGAAAGCTTTTCAGTAAAAGAAAACCAGCCTATACAATTTAGACTTATGTGAAGTAATAAAAAGGAGCCATGTAGAGTGGGTTCATGAAGTTGGCTGACAGTGACTTACTCAGTGACTTTCCGGGGTACAGTTTTGCCTGGGGATACCCAGGGATCATCTTCTCCTCTCGAGCTCTAAGGTTTTCAAGTTCATGTTTGATAATGAATTGACACTCCGCCATTGTGAGGAAGTCCTCGTTGTTATCTAACATAAAACAAACACTTCTGGGTACTTTCTCAGTAACAATATAAAAATAACATTCTAGTTATTATAGTTGAGATTACAGAATGGCATAAACAGTAACAACATAAGGAGTAGTCAAAGTACAAAATTAGCAAATTAAATAGACTCTAAGGGACTTTAGATATAAGAATACAAATTTGGTTAGGCCTGCTCATAACTCAGTCTTCAATCATTTTAAAGCTTTAGTATGGCCCACACAGTCAGACAGCACACAATGACCCGGCTTCATCTAGAACCAACAAGCAGGGCTGCATGGCCTTGAACTCTGATGGTGGAGCTGCACAAGTTTGCATGCCCTTGAAGTATACTGGTGTTTGGTGTTTCTAACCAGGATGCAACAGGCTGGCCTAAATGGTTGCTCCACCACTCTCAAGCCAGCTTTGCTCCCTTATGGAATCAATATCATGGAGAGTGTAAGGTCTATAAGAAAGCAGCTACTCTACAGATAAATCTATACTGAGGAAAATGTCACCCAGACTACCAAGTCACTGAGGTTTAAAAATCCAGGGTGAGTTAGTGGGAAGGAAGAGAGCCCTGCAAGAGTCCATTGTGTTTGAAGCTAGCACATATGCTACAGAGAGACCCCTGGTCCCAGGTCTCCCCAGAAAACACGCCCGCTGACACACCCTTAAAGGTAAGATTGTTCGAACTACCCTACTGGGAAGGAGCCAGAAAACTCAAGAAGTGAGTTTTATAACACTGAACTATTATTTTGTTTCTTACCAGATTGTTCTATATCAAGCCAATGTATATTCATGATTAAAATTAGAATAATATAAATAAATTGCATTCTAATATGTTCATCTATTCCATGGAGGGCAAGTTATAGCCAGAGGACCTAGTATGCCCTTGCCCACTGGTTTACTTTTGGGTAAGGACTGCTGTTTTGTCTCCATACAGCAGTACTGAGTGACTGTATAGAGGCACTATGGCCCACAAAAACCAACATTTTTGCTGTTTGATGCTGTGAAAGTGCCTGCTGACCCCTGAGGTACCAATGAAACACTCTTCTGTGGCAAATGTATTTCGGTAGGAAAAAAAGTTATGGTGCTTACCATGAAAATCTTTGAAGTTGTGCCGGGTTCCATAGGTAAAGGCCCGCATGGCCGCATCATTGCATTCCTTCACCAGCCCCACTGCCTCTGCCCCCAGTAACAGTCGGATCTTGGTGGCACCGACAAGGTATAAATTCTGATTTTCTAGTGTTTCTTTCTCATACTTATTTAACAGTGGTCTAAACAACAGCTGTGCACCTGACAAACACAAGGTAAGTAAAATCATAGAGAGAGACAGACACAACTTTCCAAAAATGAAATCTATACAAGAATGTTTCTATTCTCATAGCAGGGGAAAAAAATGATAAAACTTGAATCCATTGTCCAAGTAAACAGATATATAAGGAAGTTGGGAAGAGACATTCATGTTTGTGTGTGAATGTACACATGTAGGCCAGAGGTCAATGTCAGGTGTCTTCCTCAATTGCTCTCACTTTTAAAATTTAATTAATTAATTAATTTTTTTGGTCTTTTTGAGACAGGGTCTCCTTGTAAGCCCCAGCTGGCCTAGAACTCACTATGTAACCTGCCTGGCCTTGAACTTACAGAGATCCACTTGCCTCTGCCTCCTGAGTGCTGGGATTAAAGGTGTGTGCTACCACACCTGGCTAATTGCTCTAATTTTTTAAGATAGGCTCTCTCACTAAACCCAGATCCCACCAATTTAGCTAGGTGGCAGGTCAGTAACCTGCAAGGACCCCCCTGTCTCTGCTCCCCACCCCAGCTCTGGGATTGCAGGCATGTGCCAGCTTGCCTGGCTTTTTACATGAGTGTTGGGGATCAAGCTGAGGTCTTCAAGCTTGTGTGGCAAGCACTTTACCAACTGAGCCATCTCCTCAGCTCCTAATAAAAGAAATAATGAATTTAAGTGGCATCTGGAGCCTACCTGCTGCTTTTGTAGAGCTGGGTTGTGCCCCAGGCTGTTCCTGTGAAATGCCACTCTGCACCAGGCTGAGCTTCCCACACGCTCTGTTCTCTAATCACCTTTCCCTCATTATTCCTCCTGTACTGTCAAGTCCCACCTCAGTGTCTCCTGCTTGGCAAGTGAAGGTGACACAGTAGATGTGAGAAAGGCTCTAGGGGAGCAGAAATTGGTGTGGCCTTTTGGAAGACCCATTCTCCACTGCTGTGTTTTGAAAACCACAGTCCCTGTCTTCCTTGCAGAGCCAGAGCCTTTCACATTGTCCCTGTATTCTCTTATCATGGCTGTCATATCACCTGCTTAGTACACATTTATCAACAATTCTATTCTCCAAGCTCTGAGTAAATTTCCCCATAATACAATGACAGGAAAGAAACCCTGTCAACACTGTCCTACTACAGAAATCTCTCTGCACTCAGCCCTGGCCCCTGTTGGCAGCTAAGTGGGCACAGAATTCCAAATTAAAGATCCTTCCTTTCAGAAATGAAGATGATGGTCACTGCTTCCTAATGCTGGCTGCTTCTGCTAACTGTGGTCCTTTCTATTTGGGACTATTTCCTTTTGTCTGTCGTATTTTCTCTACCCCAGGTTTCTGGAACCTTCATCAACAACACAGGCCGCAAGGTGCACCCTCTCCCTGAAAGCAAGTATTATCCTGAGATTTTCTTACTGGTATCTTCTCCTTGCTTCCTGCCTTTCATTTGGTGTATACCTCCTGGGCAAATCTTTCCTAAAATTTTTTGTCCTCACATCTGAGGACAAAATTCTGATTTATCTTTTCATTCTTCTTTCTTATAGGCTTTGTTCATATTATCTCCTTAACCAATTTTATTACTTTTAAATTTTTGATTGTATATTTTCACTCTGTGAGAGCTGCTTTCCCTAAACACTGTTGCTCTAAGAAGGAAGCCTTCCTTGAGGTGTCCATCTTTTTGCACTCCAAGGACTGAGGTCTTTACTCTCTCTTCTTGCAGCTGCTGCTCTTCTTTCCTTTTCACTTTCTCTTTCACATCAAGGATTTTTCTCAGATCCTTGGTGATCTGTCTTTCGTTAGCTCTTGTTTAAGAAAGGATCACTGGGCTGGAGAGATGGTTCAGTGGTTAAGAGCATTCTTGCAAAGGACCTGAGTTCGATTCCCAGTACCCACATGGTAACTAACAACCATCCGTAACTCCAGTCCCAGGGAATACAACATACTTTTCTGACCTCCCTGGGTACTGCATGACATGAATGCACTTACATGCATACAGGCAATACATTCATACACATAAAATAGTAAAAATAATAAAGAAAATATTTTTAAAAGAAAGGAGGTCCTCACTGAGGGACTAAACAGAAGTCCTGAGGGCTTGGGTGGACTCATGCAATGTGGCCTTTAACAGATGGTGGCCTGGGCAGGTCATTACCTGGACAATGTCCTGGTTTCTTTTTTTTTTTATTTTTGTTTTTGTTTTTTTTCATAAATGGGTCAGATTCCCCCTGAGAAAGGTTATTCAATATGCTCTAGATTGTTTGAGCCTGGCTCTAGTATTTTAGAAGCCAAACTATATATGAGACTGATGGGCAGGAACAGAGAATGGTACCTTCTTCCTGGTGTAGGATCTCTCCTGTAGCCATGCACAGAGGCCCTGCACCATACCAGTATCCAGCCCTTCCCAGAGAGTAAACCTGAAACCTTCTGCTAGGCAGCACACTACAGGAGGGTGGCAGAGATCCAGCTGTTTCTTTAGTAGCTGGTCAGCTCTCTATTTGTCGTTCCCCACTTTTCTCCCACCTTTGAGGTCTCTGTGGTGGTTCTCAGTTTCCTGCTCTGCCAGCTCAAGTCCAACAAGCCCTCTCCTGCTCATCCACCTGTATCTGAGTATTCAAAATCCATTGTGGTATTTTCTTTCTTTGTCAGTGTGGACTCCTGCTTCCATCATGGTTTTGCTAGGAGTCTAGGGACAACACAATGAACAGCAGGAGTAAATGCACAACCTCCCTGCTAGACCACCCTAGTGGAGCAGTACACTGTCCCCTCCCCATGCCAAGTGATCCTGAAGATCTGTGACCCTCAGAAAGGGAGCTGGGGACTCACTGGAGTTAGGCAGAAATGTGAAGAAGAGAATATGTTTAATTTGAAATGTCGAATTTCAGCAAGCAAATACACTTATTGGTTCAGTCAACCACTGCCACATACCTCTGGGTTCATTATAACCAGGTGTGGTGGCAGACGTCTTTAATCCCAACACTCAGGAGGCAGAGGCAGGTGGATCTCTGTTAGTTCAAGGTCAGCCTGGTCTACATGGTGAGTTCCAAGCCAGCTGGGGCTACAGGGAGACGCTGTCTCATAACAATTTTAAAAAGTGTTTTAATTCTTTCATCCAAAAGTCTATTCTTTTACTTATTTTTTGTTTTTATGTACATGAGTGTTTTGCCTTCATGTATGTAAGTGCATCACATGCATGAAATGCCCACAGAGGCCAGAGAGGGCATTGAATCGCCCAAAAGTGGAACTATGGACAGTTGTGAGCCACCATGTGGGTGCCAGGAACTGAGCCAAGTCCTCCGCAAGAGCAGTCAGTGCCCTTAACTGCTGGGCCATCTCTCCGGCCCCTCAAAAATCTATTTTTAAGAACAGTCACTCTTAAAGAGTCTAACGGGTCCCGTGATGGTGCCACTGAGGTGTGGTTGTGGGCACTCTAGGAACTTTCTCTCATCTAAAGTCCCTCAGCCTTCTCACCAGCCCAGATCCTGTTTTTGTTTTTTTTTTTTAAGAGAGGGCTAAGCATGGTATCTGAGGTCATCACTTACCACTCCACAAAAAAAAGTGTCATCCACCCTTTACTTTTCTTTCCTTAACAGTAGCCACATTCATGGTTCATGTGTAGCCATCATGGGTTGCTTTGACTGTTCGCCAACTAACTCATTTTATCACTTGACTTTCTGGGAACTAGTGTTCAGTCTCCCCACCTGGGTGCTAACATCCTTGTAGGCAGAGATCATATGGATCTCTCCCTCAGCACCATAACTGACACACAACAGTCAGCAAATTGTGTCCATTCAAGCAACAAGTATTTATTAAGCTCCTACCATGCACCAAGCTCCCACTGGGTGCTGTGTTAGGCATGGCATAAGGAAACTACTCACAGAGCTCAGTCCAGGGGGAATGTTCAGTCTAGTGCTGACTGAAGACCTCCTTTCAAGCCCCAGGCAGGTAGCAAGAAGATGGTATGTTAGTGACTATAAAACACTTGTCAGTGACTAACCATGACCACCTTTGAGTAGCTATTTTACTCACCTCCATCTTTCTTTTTAGCAATAATTCTGTTTTTGAGCCATTCTTTGGTTTCTTCTTTGACATCTTGGGCAAGTTCAATAACCACCAAAGGATTGAAAGAACTCTCACAAGTATCCAAAGCTGATAAGGTCACTTTCATCTTTGACAAACAAACTTACTGAAAATTAAAACAAAAGGCAATTTGGTTATTCTGGGAAAGCAATATGCTGATTGTGTTTCTTCTCAATCATACCTAATTCTGGCATCTCATGGGTTATGTAACAGGCTCAACCAATGGATGTGTGGGAAAGAATATGGCCCTTTTCTGTAGAGAGATGGAAGGGAGAACTGTAAAAAGTGCTCACAGAGGAGCAAGATGTACAAAGGATGTAAGGCCACACAGCAAGTGTAAAGCTCCATTAGAGGCTGCCAGATAGACAACCAACAGTATCCTAAGTAGGAGAAATAGTATTCCTTGCAAATCAGTGAGAGAAACTAAACAATGAGCTCAGAGGAGTACAAATGGCTAGGTAGGGGAAGGCAGGGTGGGAATGAGCTGGCATTTTACTAGGGCCCCTGACTACAAAGGAATGGGCTCCATCTCATATACAATAAGGTTGTCAAGCGGTCATGGGCAGGGAGCTGATGCACTGGAAGTGGAGTTTTACAGATTACAGAGGTCAGCCTAGAGTGTGAGAGACCACTAGGAAGCCATTAGAACATTCTAGAAAGAGCTAACCCTGGCCTGAATAATGAGCAGATATCTAGAGCAGAATCTACAGAACCTGGCACTGCAACAAAAATATTAAGTTTGAGAATGTTAGTGGGTCACGAGTGGTCAATGGTGATTATACAGAGCCTTCCCCGATCCCAGGTAGGCAGAACCACTGTAGAAACCTCCCCTAAACTACATGTGCTAAGAAACACTATAAGAACACACCCAAGACTTCCACTTCCAGGACAGCAGACTAGGGGCTCAGACAAGACATTCTGCTGAAGACCAGACAACACAAATGCACGCACATTAAATTTTCTTTTTAATTCTGTCCTTGAATTTCAGAAAGCCAACAAGGCATGAGAATCATGGAACCCACAGCCAGAGGAATCAGAGAAGCTTGAGAAGCTTGGTGTTTCCCAGGAACAGCTTTGGGGGGTCGGGTAGTAAGGACTCAAGAAAGGTAACCAGAGCTGCTGTTTGTCAGCCAGGAGAGGCCAGCACACAAAAACTGTGACCAGTATAGAGTTGACAGGGACATGGGTCAGAGAACAAGGGTCTTACAAGACTTCATCCCAAAGACAATGGCAAACCACAGGTCAGCAGATGGGCACTAAATCGGTTCCCATCACCTGAATCTTAAGTCAGTTGTCTGAGAAGGAAAAGAAACAAACACAACAAAGTTTGATCATGGCCTTGACTGGGCAGACTTCAAAATAATCTTATCTGTGCAAGGAACTGAAGGCAAAAGTAAGAAATCTGGCAAAGAACTGGAAGCTGCTTTTTGATGGAAATTCTAGAATTTAATCATATAAGAATCAAAATCATAGAAAATCAGAGAAAACTTAAAGAGAAAAATCAATGAATTAGAGGACAGCTGTGAGGTAAACAGGGACCATGAGGAGGAAAGTAGAATCTGAGAGACTCCAACTGTGAATGTCCCAGTGATAAACACAAAACACAAGTCGGTTATACCTCAGTCACAACAGAACAGAAAACCAGGAGACAAACCTTCAAAGTTCTCACACTGACACAAGGGCAGCCAGGGCAGGGCCATCAGATGAATCAACATCTGTGTTCCCAGAGAATGTTACCACCAGTTCAAGCCTGTGGCCCCCAACAAAGAACAAGAGAAAAACATTCCTCCAAACTAAACAAAAGTTGAAAGCATTCAGCCCAACGTGTGCCCACTAAAGAAAACGGGGACAGAAGCTGCTCTTGAAGCAGAAGGAAATAACTGTGGGGATCGGGTCTGAACATAGAGTGCTTCGGGGAACATGGAGTGTGCAAAGGAATTCTCCTTTACTGACTGCTATGGCAGGAGGAACTAAGTTACGTTGTCTGCACACCTGATTCTACTCAGTCCTAACAGATCCACATTTTATTATTTGGTTTTCCTTTTTTTATTTTTTAAGGGTTTATTTATTTATTTGTATGTGTCTGTATGAGTATATATGTATGTGTGTGCAGGCGTGTGCTCTAAGGCAGAAGAGAGTATTAGATCCCTCGGAGCTGGAGTCACAGGCATTTTCAGAACTCATAGCATGTTACCTCATGCAGGGATTTCATCTCGTTTTCATAGTGACTCAGCAAGCATTCATTGGGCCATCTCTCTAGCCCTTTTTTAAAAAAAATGTTTTTGAGTCACAGTCTTACTAGGTAGCCTGACTAGCCTGGAACTTGCTATGAAGACCAGGCTAGTCTCAAACTGAAGGTAATCCTCCTGCTTCTGCCCTCCTGAGTGCTGGAGTTATAGGCATATGCCACTCTACCTGGCACTACAGTTTACCCTGTTAAAAATCCAAAAGAGGGCTGGGGATACGGCTCAGCTAATGCTGATACAGTGCTTGTCTAGCATGCACAAAGCCCTTTGATCCTTAGCACATTACAAACTGGGTGTGGTGGCACACTCCTATAATCCCAGCATGGGGGGGTGGGGTGGCGGATTAGGAGTTCAAGGTTATCCTCAACTGCATAGTAAATTCAAGGGCAGCCTGAGATACATGAGACCCTATCAAGAAAGGAAAGGGAAGGGGAACAGGAAGGAGAAGGAAGAGAGAGAGAAAGATAAAGAGAGAAGGAAAAGAAAGAAAGAAGAGGAAAAATCAAAGAAGTTATTTTGCTAAGCTCACAGTGAGCAGGAATATTATTGCCTCATGATACACAGCTTAAAACTAGAGAAATCCTAACTTTTCATTGCTAGTGTAATCCTAACTTTTCATTGCTTACCATTCAAACTTTTGTGTGCTATGTGTGTGTGATATGTATGTACATGTTCATGTGTGTGCCTATGGGTATGTGTGTGCCACAGTGTATATGTGGAGGTCAGAATGACAATCTCAGGGGCAGTCTTTTCCTTCCACCTTTGAGACAAAGTCACAGCACTACGCACACCAGACTACGTGGCCTGCGAACTTCTGGGAACTCTCATGTCTTTTACTCCCATCTTTCCATTGGAGTGCAGGGGTAACAGACATGTGTGCTAGTGCATTCAGCTTTTATGTGGGTTCTGGAGATCTGAAATCAGATCCTCATACTTGTGTGGTAAGCATTTTACCTACTGAGCCATCTCCCCAGTCCCTGACCATTCAACTCTTACTGAAGATGAGCTAAACCAGAATTCAAGATAAAATGACAATATGAGACCAATTTACAGAATTTTTTATATAAAGCAAAATTAAACATTTCAAAGATTAAAAAAAATAGCCCCAACTAAACATTAATAACAAAATCTAACAACAACAACAAAAACAAAACTACTCAACAATCACAAAACAAACCTCAGGGCAAAATCACAATCAACAGAAGACAACAGTGAAAAGCACTGACACTGGGCCTTCCTAACAGCCTGGAGAGCCTAGCCATTCACAGCCAAGTGTCTGTGATTAAGCTGTAGTGCGTCATGGGGCTCCAAACAACAGCCAGACAAACCAGAGGCCCCCTGAGCTTATAGGGTCACTGCTGTAACTTGGAGGCTGACTATTCCCAAAGGTCTGGGTGTTGAAGGCTTGGTTCCCACAGGTGCCATCAGGAGGTGGGGCCTGATGGGAGGTCTTAATCACTATGGGACCCAGGCCCTTTCCTTTGTTTTCTGCTCCTGAGGTGAGTAGTTTTGCCCCATGGCTATTCCCACAATAATGTGTCGTCTTCTTGGGAATGTGAAGACATCTACCCCTTTGCCATCTTGGGTTGGAACCTACAAGACTATAAACCAAGACAAACCTTGTCTCTGTGTAGATTAATCATCTCCGGCAATTCATAACAGTTGCATGGAGCTAACTAACACACACTATGAGTACTAAATATTGCTAAGCCTTAATTGTTTCGATAAGCAATTAGGAAGCAGATCTTATCAGTTTATAAAGATGAAAGCTTATGAAATTGTGTCCTATTGACTGAAAAATAAAAAGGACCTACATTCTTTCGATCAGTGAGGAGACTGTCAGGGGGCTTGCAGGCCTTGCAGAGGGTTTCTGCCTCTAATTCTTCACCCAATCCTTTTTCCTTGATTCCCATAAAAAAAACTTCAGCATTCTCCTGAAACCCGTGTACCCCTTCTTTGCCTTAGCACACATCTAGATGACATGTCCCAGTCTGCTGGTGTCAGGAAGACACACTAAATCCTAGCCCTGTGAGAAAAAGTCCAGAATTCCAACTCGAGGTCAGAGCCCTCGGGGGAGTGGTCAGGCCTCTGCCATGGTTTCTTCCCTTTCCAGGAGCATCTGGGATATAAGACAGAAAAATCCAGTCTGGTTTCCTAAATTGCAGAGAGGAGCTGCCTGCCCACCAACCCAGAACCCTATCCTCAAGCTGCAACCGAATAGGAAAGCTGTTGAGCTTGAATCTGGTCCACACTGGAGCTCTAATGGATAAAGCATTCACTTTACAATTCTTTATCTTGTTTCTAGAATTGGGGCTTAGGTAAAACTGTGCCTTTTAGTACATGCTGTCTGTATTAATCACTCTTTTCACTGCCGTCATCAAACATCTGAATGGAAGTATTTACAGAAGAAGGGTTTCTTCTGGCTCAGTCTGAGGAGATACAGTCATGACTATGAAGGCATAGTGGCAAGCAGCTCAGTGTCAGCAGGAGCATGAGGTGGCTTGCTTATAACTTTAAGGACCAGGAAGCATAAAATTTGGGCTAGAAGTCTAGCTGGCCCTATGTCCATAAGGTTCCAGAGTCCCCCAAGCAGCAGTCCCAGAAGGAGAGCAGGTGACTATACACAGGAGCTGTGGGGGACACTCACACTCAAACCTAACAGTCTACATAGTTAGAACGTGGTGATGAAGAGCTTAAATCCCAATTCCACTTACAACCTCTCAGTTACATGGCCTCTGACAACTCACTCATCCTCATTTGTGAAGTGGGAATAGTATACACTCGTGCATCACTGGGTCAGTGTGTGATCAGATCATAGTTGCATAGCACAGCATCTGCCATAGAGTAGGCATACAAAAAC